CTCCCGTAAAGATTTACACCCTCGGAAACCCTGTACAGGGTCGCTATGGGTCGGAACCGACTCGACGGCATTTAACAACAACAACAACTGAAATGATGTGTCTCTGATGACAGGAATTCTTAGAACCATATTGAAGCCTCAGCAGACTATCCCACCACCACCACCAGGTGCTGTGGAATAGATTCTAAATCATGGTGATCTCACATGTGTCAGGGTAGAACTGGGCTCCATGGGGTTTTCAAAGTACTTTTTGTAAGGCAATTCCCAGGCCTTTCTTCCTAGGTACCTCTATTGGAATCAAACCTCCAAACTTTCAGTTAGCAGCCAACTACTTTAATAACCTGTACCACCCAGGGATTCCCAACATAACAAAGACCTGAAATACTGTATGTCAAGTTGTATGTCATTTAAAAAAATAATAAAAACTTACAAGAAAACTTTTAAAATTTATGTCTCCCAAAGCTTGTTGAAAATATTACTTCAAGGATTCTTAACAACTACAGACTTTAATCAAAGCTAGTACTAACACTAGGAGCCCTGGTGGCACAGTGGGTTAAGTGTTGAGCTGTTAATCATAGGTCAACTGCTCAAACCCACCAGCTGCTCTGTGGGAGAAAGATGAGCCAGTCTGCTCTTGTGAGAGTTCCAGCCTGGAAAGCCCTTTGGGGCAATTCTACTCTGTCCTACAGGATTGCTGTGAGTCTGGGTTGACTTGACACCCGTGGAGTCAGGCCTTGTGGGACCAGCACATCTGAGTCCTGGATGAACCAACAGTGTATCAGTCTTAGAACAGATGGAAAAGAACTATATCCAGCAGTTTGAGTAACCTCTAGTAGTCCTGGTGTGGCGCAGTAGGATAAGTAGGATAACCACAGAGTCAGCAGTTCAAACCCACCAATTGCTCCTTGGAAATCCTATACAAGGTTACTATGAGTCAGAACCGACTCCATGGCACTAACAAGTAGTACAATTTTTACAACTAGAGGTTACTATCAGTGGTGGTGATGGTAGTGGTTATGTGCCGTGGAGTCGGTTCCGACTCATACACCCCTGTACAGAGTTTCCAAGGCTGTAAATCTTTACGGGAGCAGAAAGCCTCATCTTTCTCCCATGGGTCAGCTGTGAGGCTCGAACCCTGGACATTGTGGTTTGCAGTTGAGTGCCACCATGCTCCATATATATATGTGTGTGTGTGTATTTACATATATATGACTCATTGTCATTTATATATCGCTATTGCACAAAATTTACTATTTATTGTCAAAACGACTCACTTAGTGAGCTTTTTGCAAGTATATTCACATTTCTTGATTGAAAATGCTTGTAGAAGTGCATCACAGCCTGCCTAGAGTAAGAAAGAAGGAATTAGGACTTTAATGCTATTAGGGGGAAAAGTTTGGATTCTGTTCTGAGCTCAGTCCAGAAAGTAAAGTAATGTCACCACAGTGGGTGGGGATGACATAGCCACTCATTGAACAAATATTTTCCTCTGTTTATGAATGAGAGCTTGGACAAAGAATGAATCCCACAGTTCCACCCTTAGAAGCCCACAGTCTGGTCAGGGAACAGGCAGGGAAGTAAGCGGTTCCAATAGCAGTCTGGTAAGTTCATAGACAGGTCCTGTGCACAGGATGCTATGAAAAGACATAAAAGGGATACAACTCAGGGAGGATGTCGGTGAAGGGGACATCTAAGCTGAGTCATAAGAAATTAGACCAAGGGGACAAGAGGAGGGACACAGGGGCTGTCCCGGCAGAGGAAGGGACCTGTGCTAAGGACTGAGGGAAAGCACTGCGAGCAGCTCTATGGTTAAAGAGGGCAGGAGCTTGACCCAGTGCTCTCTCACAGACTCAGCCAGGGGAGGATGCCCTGATTTCCAGCCTTCCTGGCTCCCTAGGCACCCCTCACCCCAGCTCCCTAATCCTGCTCTTCAGTGATTCTCTTTGAGTTGTGATCTTTCTCAACCACAAGAGTCTGGACTGATCCAATGTGGTCTGTCAGTATTCACCACTTGATCTAGTGGGCTCTTCCCAGGAGTTAGAAGTAATCAGCTTAAAGCTGATTAGGGTAAGGAAAGGAAAGCACAGTTGAGGTGCATTTGGTGGCAATTTAAAAAACAAAAAAAAAAGGTAATGATTTTTTTCATTTCTCAGCAATAGCCAATTAGTGGAAGGAGGCAGATTAAAAAAAAATTTTTTTCTTTTTTTAATCAAACAATCCTAGCGCATGTGTCCGCCAGATTGATTCTGAGGTATCTAACATTCTCAGATTACTCTTCTTCACACTCTAAATGGGCCCCACATTCTTCACTATTAAAAATAAAAAGGCTGCCAAAACAGTATTTGCTTGGCCATTCTACAGTTATAAGGATTCATATCTGTACCATGTACTTTTCGGTATGTTGCTGGGGACAAACCAAACACAGAATTCAATGGAATCCATTCCAAAAGGAAGAGGGAATGATTTGCCTGACATAGGCATGCTTCGGTAGTCCTGCTGCTAAGTCCCCAGCAACAAAGCAGAAAGCAGTAGAGGAGAACATTTTCCTACTGAACACCACTGACCCCCTGTGACAAGTGTTTCCAGAATGAATTGCTAAACTAAAACTGAGAGAAAAATAAACATCCTAATCATTTTTAAAACATGAGGTGGCAGAGGCGATGGCATAGAGAGAGAGAGCAGCTGAAGACTATAGACCCACGAAATGAGAAATGTGGTATGCCTACGGGCAGGAGGCTGACTTGCAAAATGTGCCCTCTGGACATTTAAATGAGTATATATTTTGTGTGTGGTGTGGTGCTGTGGGCTAATGGGTCAGACAGCAAAGTCGTTTGAACTACAAGGTCGGTGGTTCAAGCTCACCAGCTGCTACTTGGAAACCCTATACTGGGTCGCTGTGGGATGGAATTGACTCAATGGTACTTAACAACAACAACATTTTGTGTATGATAGTGAACATTGAAAAAAAAAAGGTATAGAGGTAAATATTGTTAACTAATGCTACATGGAGGGGATCGTACTCACTGCAATGAAACAAAATATGATTTATTGAATGTAAAACTGATGATCTTCCACTCAAGTCACAATAAAAGCTTTAAAGAAACAAAAAAAAAGATGCATTGATAATTAATGGTGATTGGAATGTGAAAGTAGGAAACAAAGAGAACGGACCAGTAATTTGAAAGCATATGATCTTGGTGATTAGATGCTGGAGAACGCATGAGAGAATTTTGCAGGCTTAACAGCTTACTCATTACACATAATTTTTTCAACAACATAAATGGCAACTATACATGTATATAATGACAGATGGAATACATAGGAATCAAATCAACTACATCTGTGGGAAGAGAAGATGGCAAAGCTCAATTTCATCAGCCAAAAGAAGGCCACAGTCAAACACGGAACAGACCATCAATTGCTCATACGCAAGTTCAGACTGAAGCTGAAGAAAATGGAAATCTGTCGATGAGAACCAAAATACAATCTTCAGTATATCCCACCTGAATTTAGAGACCATCTCAAGAACAGATTTGATGCATTGAACACTAATGAAAAAGACAAGAGGAGTTGTGGGATGATATCAAGAATATATATGAAAAAACAAAAGGTCATTTAGAACACAGGAAACAAAGAAAAGACCAAATTGGATTTCAAAAAAGTCTCTGAAATTTGCTCTTGAATATGGAGTAGCTAAAGCAAATAAACAATGAAGTAAATGAGCTAAGCAGAAAATTTCAAAGGGAAGCTTAAGAAGACAAAGTAAAGTATTATAATGAAATGTGCAAAGACTGGGTGTTGGAAAATCAAAAGGAAAGAACACAGCATTTCTCAAGCTAGAAAAATAAAAAGAAGAAAAACACTCAAGCCTTGCGTTACAATATTGAAGGATTCTAAGACCTAGTGTGGCGCTGTGGGTTAATGCTGTAAAGTCATTTGAACTGCAAGGTCGGTGGTTTCAAGCTCACCAGCTGCTCCTTGGAAACCCTATACAGGATCGCTATGGGTCGGAATTGACTTGACAGCACTTAACAACAACAACAACTACATGTACAAAATATTGAACAACACAGGAAGCATTAAAAGAAGATGGTAGGGACATACACAGTCACTGTACCCAAAGTAACTGATTGGCAGTCAATCACTTTGTTATTGTTGTTGTTAAGTGCCGTCGAGTTGTTCCCGATTTATAGCGACCCAACATAGAGTTTCCAAGGAATGACTGGTGAGCTTGAACTGCCAACCTTGTGTTTCAAACAGACATTGCAATCCAGCACATGAAGCCACAGCACCACACCAGGACTCCATTCAACCACTTTACGAGACAGTCTATGAGCAAGAAACAACGGTATAGAGAGAAGAATTCCAAGCTGCATGGCTGCCAGAAGACTGAACACATCTGTCTTGGAGTAAGTACAGCCAGAATGTTTGTTAGAAGCAAGGACGGTGAGACTTCTTCTCTTATGCTTTGCAGTCCAGCATATTAATCTGCAGCACCACATCAGAAGGGAACTGGGAAAGGTCATCATGCGAGGTAAAGTAGAGAGGGTCAGTAAAACAAGGAAGACCCTTAATGAGATGAACTGACACTATGTATGGCTGCAACAAGGGGCCC